ATTTTTGAGTGGTATTTATTAGATTTTTTAAATATTATTTTTAGATTTGTTTGTTTAGTATTCGTATTTGTTTTTAGCTTTAAATATTATTTTTTAATGATGTAAGTCACCTTGGATCCTTTTTGAGGAGAAATGTGGGGTGTGTACAAATGAATGAATGAATGAATGAATGAATGAATGAATGAATGAATGAATGGATGGATGAATGAATGAATGGATGAATGAATAAATAAATAAATAAATAAATAAATAAATAAATATTCAGTGCCAAAACTGGTTTCATATTAATAAAAATAAAAATTGCATGGATATATGAAAATATATGACAAGTTCTGACAACCTCCATACCTTACCATACTATGTGTCTCCTTGCTTATTTCTCTGGCCATATGGAATTCAGATTTAATTGAATGCAACAGGGCTGATTGAAATGCTCTTCTCTCCATGTTGGCTCTTCTAGCTTCCCAATGCATTGTGGCATGCCAGGAGGCAGAGGGAGATATTTCCCCTTAAACTGGATAAAGATACCTGCATGATGTATAACTAATACTTAGTGGTTGCTTCATGAGCACTTTTCAGATATTAGAAAATTGCAAGCATACAGGAGGACAGAGATAGATCCCTGAAGCTCTGCTCCTACAACCACCTCATGATTATAAGCAATGTCTAAAGAGCAAACCTTTCTGTACAACTGGAAACCTGGCTATTCAGGGTTCATAATTTTGTGGGGCTCCCTGTATCTCATCAACTCAATAGAGTTACATTTGTGCTGAAGTCAGACTTTCCTCACAATGAGAAGGAGCTCATGGAGGAAGAGCAACAACATCTGTCTTCCTTTCTCTAGTTATTCATAATAAGCCTATAGCTGAAAGGTCCCATGCTTTCTTTTCAAATATGGGGTCAGATCTACCATTAGACAAAGTGACACAGTTGCCTGAGGAGGCAGATAACCAAGAGGCCAAAGAAAGTAGAGGAGGGAATTGTATACCATGTGACCTATCCTGAACCCCGTAAGCCAGCCTGTTGCCCTCAGAGATGGTGAAGGACATTGAACCTCATTAGTGTCAAAAATCATTCACCACCAAACCCAGTTGGCTTTTGTACATAGGGGAGGATGTAACATCTTGTTTATTACCTCAAGGGAGAAGCTGTCTTGGGCCAGTTGTGGCATGTATATATTTACATATAATTGGAAATTATTTTGATAGGTTTTGAAATAATTTGTGCACAATTAGCAGCCATTTTAAAAGAAGAAAAATAGGGGAAATTTCTTGTTCTCTGTCATTCTTTAGGTGTTACTCTGTGACTCTCTAGGTCTTGCTCTGTGGCTCCCTGGGTCTTGAAATCTGTGCCAAGATTTCCCCTTCATTCAGTGGGATTTCCTGATGTTCCATGAAAACAAAATCTTGGTCATGGTTGCATTTTAATTCCTTTTTTTTCCCTTTTTTTTGGTAAGCCACCAAGAGCTGTGGTGTTTTACCAACTGTGGCAAAAAAAAAAAAAATCCACACCAGTGATGGGATACTAGAAGTAAGACCTTCACTCCATAGTAACAGAACAAGGGTGGAATAACAACAACCACGGACTAGCACAAATCGAATGGCAGTCATATACTTTGGAGAACTTTAACACACATTTAGGAAACAAGCAAACTTTGCCATATTTTCCAAATAGTAAGCTAGTTCGCTTTCATTTGCTTTCACCAAAAGTCATATTAATATCAAGACCTTTATGAATTCCAGGACTTGTCCAACTCTATTTTCCATTACTACAATATACAATTTAAAATTTGCTGCATTGTGAGCTATTATACATTATGAGACAGACCGACCGACCGACCGACCGACCGACCGACAGACAGACAGACAGACAGATAGATAGATAGATAGATAGATAGATAGATAGATAGATAGATAGATAGATAGATAGATAGATAGATAGATAGATAGATAGATAGATAAAACTTTATTATGATCAAAGACCAGCCACAAATAAAACATCAAAATCTATAAATATACAGTATACAAAAATATTGGGATCAAACGCAAATACTTGGTTCTGAGGTGAACAATAACAACATCAAAACCTCCCCTAAAGCAATTCCAGAATTTCTTGTGTATTTGTTGGTATTTTCTATCAGTACAATGGTACAATATACCATTATATTGCAGTGCAGCACTCAGAGGTGATTGTAAGCTTTGAACAAAATGTGATAGGGTAAAACGTAGAAGGGTTCACTTATTTGTACATTCACCTTTATCTGAATTAATCTTCATTTTTTAAAAAATTTTTAAAAATTAGGCTATGATTAAATAAAATATTTTGTAAGATCTGGTCCTATTTTGACAATTCAGGACTTCTAAAAAATGAGTCAGCTCTAATAGGCTCAGCCATAAATTGGATCAAAACTATTTGCCCAGATTATTCAGTCACATACATATATACATATTCTGAAAATCCTTTGCTTACATTGTTGTAAGTGAACAAAATATTCTTCAGCAGCCCTTCCTTATCTGGCCGGGCTGCTGTTCATGGAACCTGTGCAAACAAATTCAGCTCAGTGGGCTTACCACGCCAATGTTATCCTTTGTATTGAACATACAACGGTCTACAGGACTTCCAGGTGAGGTGGGGATGGATCAGGACCTACTAACATCCCCATGTTGCCATCACCCTTTGAGTCCTATGTGCTTTCAGACTGAATCCCTGAATATTGCTTAAGTGTAGATATACACAGAATACACAATTGCACCCCCATTGCAATTCACAAGGGTTCACTTATTTGTACATTCACCTTTATCTGAATTAATCTTCATTTTTTAAAAAATTTTTAAAAATTAGGCTATGATTAAATAAAATATTTTGTAAGATCTGGTCCTATTTTGACAATTCAGGACTTCTAAAAAATGAGTCAGCTCTAACAGGCTCAGCCATAAATTGTATCAAAACTATTTGCCCAGAGTATTCAGTTACGTACATATATACGTATTCTGAAAATCCTTTGCTTACATTATTGCAAGTGAACAAAATATTCTTCAGCAGCCCTTCCTTATCTGGCCGGGCTGCTGTT